CCAACACAATTATAATTAATTAATTAATTTAATTAATATAATTAAAATTCTAAAGGAAAATCTTGGTTGGGGTTCAAATTCACGTAGCAGATTTAATGTATTGACCGTGGAGATATTTAAGGGCATGAAATTCTGTGTAGCATAATGTATGTGTGGGTGTGTGGTCTTGACCTTTTCATTTTAGTTTTCTCTCTGGTGCTATGAAATCTCACACCCTCCAGCCTTGGAGAGATGAATACCCTTTGTCCTCCAGCCCAGGAGACGTGAATACCCTTTGTCCTCCAGCCCAGGAGAGGTGAATACTCTTTGTCCTCCAGCCCAGGAGAGGTGAATACCCTTTGTCCTCCAGCCCAGGAGAGGTGAATACCCTTTGTCCTGTGTGTCTATATCCACACAGTATGCACTACCCTCCCATCAGTTGCTTAGACGTGGAAGTTATCAGTGTACTGTCATAGTACAGCAGTGCTTGTGTTGAAGGGACCCTTACATGGGAACCTACACTTCATCACAGTACCTGTGGCGTCCACTTTACACCATGTCATTGGGCATCACAGAAAGGAGTAGAAAAAGGTGTACTAAGATATTTTCAGAGAGAAAAAGGAAGCACACTTCACATAATTCTTAGGACGGTGTATTATTATAATTGTTCTAATATTTGTTATTAGTCTCTTATTGGGCCTGATTTATAAATGTGACCTTATCCTAGGTAGTATGTTTAGGAAAAAACAGGATAGATAGATGATAGATGATAGATGATAGATAGATAGATAGATAGATGAGAGAGAGAGAGAGAGATAGATAGATATATATTCCCTAGTACTGGCCGATCCAGGCCTCTAACTGACCACTGTACAGCTTGGGGGTGGTAAGCACACACTAATAGGATCTGGGGGCTGACCGCAGAATTCAAGTCACTTTTTATACCAGATGGTTCCTAACTCTAGTATCCTGAAGTGTTCTACCTAGAACCAAATTGGTACCAGGGTTCCATCAAACACACTGTCAAGTATGTTTGTAACTGAGTTGTACCCTTTGAAATTTCCAAAGCATAATGGCCCCCAAGAGTCTCTGAGAAGCCAGACAGGAAAGATCATAGCTCACCGAAGCTCATGATTCCCAGACAGATCTTTTCTCCTTGGGCATCAATTAGCCTCCCTGGAGCTCGAAGCACTCCACGGTCTGTGTGTGCAGAAGCTGGCACACAGAAGATGTCTGTGTTTGCATCACACGTCAGAAAGCTGGACCTGCTCAGCCAGGAGAAGGGCAGATAGGAGCAGGCAGCTCTGGGGATGGGACTGGAGGCAAAGCTCCTGCAGGCAGGAGACAGGAGGCGAGAGTGGGTGTCCGAACAAAGGCAGCATGTGAGCAGAGGCGAGGCACGGCCAGAGGCTGAGCTGCCTCTGCTTCCCAGGGAGCCATCTTGGAACTGGATGAGCCCTGTGGAGTCAGGGAAGAGCCAGTCAGCACAGTGTATGAAGTATGTACTATGGAAGGAGGAGGTGGGGGCGTACCAGGGCCCCAATTCCCAGGCAACTGGCCACAACTCTCAGGCAACCCGGGCCCTCCTAGCAATCCCCAGTACCGGCAAAAGGCCTAGTGCCAGCAACCCAGGGGCCACTGATCCCAGCTCTGCCGAACTAGCTGGGTGACCCTGGCAAGTCCCTCACCTTGTAGTGGCTTCTTGTGGCCGCAGGACAGAGTTCTACAAGCCAGTAGAAACCACAGTTGAAACCTTTCCTTGCAGTTCTGGAAGCTGAAGTCCAACAGCATGGTGTGGCAGAGCCATGCTCACTTAGTAGGCCTGGGGAGGATCCTTCCACCTTCTCCAGACCCAGGCAGCTCCACCCCCTGTCTCCATCCTCAACCGCCATGCTCCGTGTATCTTACATCCCACCCCCACCCCCATCTGTCTTGTAAAGACATCAGTCATTGGATCTGGGCCCAATGTAAATCTAGAATGATTTTATCTTGAGATCCTTAATTGCATCTACAAAGATTACATTCATAAGTACTGGGGGTTAGGACTTGGGGACCCCTGTGAACCCTTTTGGAATGAGCTTCCTCATCACAAATGAGTGGTTGAGAAGATTACAATCTGCATAGAAACCTTCACAAGGCAGCTGGCAGTCACTGCCATCACCCATTCATTGATGAGTGCCCACACATTGTCAGGTATGTGGCTCATGCCTGTCCCTCCAACTCTAAACCTACACGATTCCCCCAAGTCTTAGCGCTACGATTCTGGGCCACCATAAAGGTGGTATAGGGATTGCAACATAAATGTTTCTGCTCCTTCATGAGCCACAGGTGTGCAGGGAGGGGTGGGAGCTGGTCAGCCTCCTATAACCACAGACCTCTTCCTTGATCAGTCATAGCAGCCCAGCCGCATCAAACACCTGCAGTTTCTACACTGAGTTGCAAGTAGGCTTGGAGCTGTGGGTGGGCATGGTGAGGATGCATCAGAGTGCAGAGGCAGCCTAGGCCCCTCCTGTATTCATGGGTCCACCTGTGAGGTATGTCGCCAGGACATAATGTCTGCATGGACAAGCACCACAGTACCCTTTATCTCCCAGAATCCTCAGGACAGAGAGAAGATGGGCAGGTAGATGGATTGTGATACAGGAAAGGAAATTCTGATGGGTTCTATCTAGCTCAGTGTCCATCTTGATGGGGGATCCAACTGGATTCAGAAAAACACAGCCAGGGCCTAGCTGGACTGAGACCAGCCAATATTTGACTTGGCTGGATAAGAAACAAGTGAGCTCACTGACTTTGGAGTCTGGCTGATCCAGGACAGATAGGAAGAGAACACTGGGAGCACAAAACTCCTAATGTTTGAAGATGGCTAGTCCAGGGGACTGAGGGAGGTGGAGTTTAGGACGGTCCCTGTATTTCTGATGAGGTTGACTGGGTGGGGGTGGGAAGGCAGAGCCCAGCAGATGAAGAGGAGGTATGAGTGGTAATGCTACTCATAAATCTTATTCACAAATCTTTCGGTTTGCAGCAGGTCTAGTGTGGGCCCGGCATCCTGCAGGCTGTTACAGAATCCTCCCAGCAATCCACTTGCTCTAGTTCCATTTCTGATGCTGTGATAAAATACCCTGACAACAGGCAACTTAGGGGAGACAGGGTTTATTACAGCTCACAATTCCAGTTTACACTCCATCACTGCTGGAAAATCACATCAGATCCATCCATAGTCAAGAACAAAAAGAGGGCTGGAGAGATGGTTCCGTGGTTAAGAGCACTGGCAGCTCTTGCAGAGAACCTGGGTTCAATTCCCAGCACCTACATAATGGCTAACAAGTATCAGTAACTCAAGTTCCAGGGGATCTGACATCCTCTTCTGACATCTAATGGAAGTGCACAACACGGGTGCACCTACCTACATGCAGGTACAACACTCATAAACATAACATATGTTTTAAAAGAACAAAAAGAAATGAACGGATGCCCCCTTGCTTGTGCCTGTGCACCTACCTACATGCAGGTACAACACTCATAAACATAACATGTTTTAAAAGAACAAAAAGAAATGAACGGATGCCCCCTTGCTTGTGCCTGGATCAGTTTTCTAATTTTGAATAGTTCAGGATGCCCCACCTAAGGAATAATGCCACCCACCTTTGGCTGGGTCGTCCCACATCAATTAACACACGTCCCCACAGACATGCCCACAGGCCAACACAATGTAGACAGTCCCTTCCTGAGACTTCTCCCACCTCACCAGCTGATTTCAGGTTGTGTCAAGTTGACAGTTAAAGCTGATCCTCACACCAGTGAACAAAGCACTATTATAACACAGTCAATGAAGCAGGCAAAGGGCTGCAGTGACACACTGGTCTCTGCTCCAGCCGAACCCACTGTCTGCCTTTTCCAACACATTGGGTTGTTTCTTCTGTGTCAAAAATAACTAAGGAGGCATTTCCTCGAACTCCTAACTCCCTCGTTTTCCGGTGTGACTGAACTTTCCACACTGAAAGACTGCTGATCCAGACCTCACTTCAGACAGGGATTGGACAGAATTGGGAGACACTCAGGTTCGCTTTCGGCCGTGACCTCCCTCACTCCTGGGGGCCCTGAACCTCATCTGTGAAAGGTGTCAGATAATATGTCTCCAGAGGCTGTTGTGAAAAGCTTGTGGGTTAGACTGGGCTATGAAAATGCAGTGTAGACAGACTGCCAGTCAGGTTCAAGTACCAGATTCAGCATCCTCAGATTCAAATAGTGAATCCAGCCGGCTGCCCTTCCTCACCTACCCTGGTCCAGTCCTCTCTTCCCTGCCCTGAGTGTCATGTTGCACATGAAGTTCAGCTTTGACCACATGTGTAGCTCCCTAGAACATATGTCTGATAACTATAAAATGGCTTTGGGTCTGCACATTGATTTGCTAGAAATAATCAACATTTGACACTGGAAGCCAGTGTGAGCAGTGACCCAACCTAGCACTCCTGGCCTGTGAGAGGAGAAAACCATGAGAATAATTCATCACTCAGTCCCTAGAGAGAGGCAGGATGGGGACCCAGGACAAATACCATCCCCTGAAGAATCAGGGTGCACTGTGTGGGCTCTTCCCTCACCTCTTGATTTTACTATGGAGATAAAGTTCATATAATGTCAAGTTAGCCATGTCTATTTGTACAATCCCAGTGCAGTTAACACCTCCACACTGTTCTGCAACCATTGCCTCTCCCTAGTTCCAAAAACATTTTCATCACCTGGACCCAGGTAGGCTGGCCTCCCTGCACCCCTGTGGACAGACTCTGACCATGTTCTGTTTGCCTTGCCATTGCAGCCCCGGAAGTCTTCCAGGTGTATGTGGACGGAGGCCCTGGCTACTCATACCCTGTTGACTGGTGGTCTCTGGGTGTCACAGCCTACGAGCTGCTTCGGGGCTGGGTAAGACCTGTGGAATACCAGGATGAGGGCTGTGGAGAGGGAGCATCAATCTGCAGGGCTGATGGGATGCCAGCAGGGGGCATGGACCAGTATTCTGGATTTCAGTCCTCACAGTAAGCATGCCACCCCTAAGGACCCTGAGGGAACTCTGGTCAAACCCTATATTCTCTCAATGGGGAAGGAGTAAAGAGGGTCAGAGGAGGTCCATGGATGACCAGCCCCAGGTCAGACACCAAAGCACCTCAGCCTCTTGCTTTCAAACTCCCTCCTTAGAACTCACAGCACAGTGTGTCTGAGCTAACTTCCTGACTTGATTGGAAATTCTTTTCCTTTTTTCTCTTTCATTTTTTTCATATCTTCTCCATATATTACAACTGAAATATCTATAAAAGTGGGCTGAGACCTTGTCTTGGTTACTTTTCTGTTGCTGTGATAAAACACCATGACCAACGGAACTTATAAAAGGGAGCGTTTATTTAGCTTATAGTTCCAAAGGGGCAAGAATCCATCATGGTGAGGAGGCATGGCGGCAGAGGTGGCTGGTGTAGGAGCAGAAATCAAGCTCTCACCCCTTCAAGCAGCACAGGAAGCAGAGTGTGACTAAAGATCCAGCAAGGCTTAAGAACTCTCTTAGCCCACCCCCAGTGACATGCCTCCTCCAGCATGGCCACACCTTCTAAGACTTCCCAGAACAGCAGCACCATTTTGGGGACAGAATGCTCAAATACTTGAAGTCTGCAGGGGACATTCTCATTCAAACCGCCACAGACAGTCAGTACAAATTTCTGCTTTACACCAAATAACTGAAAATGACCGATGAAGCCATTTGACACCAATAACTCTTTTTTGTATTTGAGCAGAAATTCTTATGACCAAACTACTTTTGAAGGGACTTTTCTTTGCACAAGTATCATTGAAAAAATGATGTCGGGGCTCAGCAGTTAAGAACACTGGTTGTTACCGGGCCTGGTGGTGCACACCTTTAATCCCAGCACTCAGGAGGCAGAGGCAGGTGAATCTCTATGAGTTCAAGGCCAGCCTGGTCTACATAGTGAGTTCCAGGACACAGATGAAATCATCTGACACGTGAGGGGCTGGGGACCTGGATCAGCGTAAGGGGAAGGGGTTGCTCGTGCAGAGGACCAGGGTTCAGTTCCCAGCACCCACTAGGCAGCTAACAACCGTCCACAACTCCAGTTCCAGGGGATCCGACAGCCTCTTCTGACCTCTGCCGGCACTGCATGACACGGGTGCACTTACCTACATGCAGGCAATACATGCATACGCATAAAATAATAATAAATAAAATTTAAAAAAAGAAAAATGATGTCACCTCAAGTCCTAAGTCTGTGGTTCCCTCATCATTCAACAGATCCAATCCGGGGGTTTGGGGGTGGCTTTGTACATCATGATAATAGAGAACGAATGAACAGAAGAGCGAACTAGTAAATGAATGACAGGAACAGCTTGTCACAAAACTCTGTAAGTGCAACCACTGTCACTCTCTAGCTCAGCCAACTATTTTCTGCTCCTGAACGCAGTTATTTCCCATGAATTCCTCAAAAACATTACCCTTATGCGTGGCAGGTTAGAATGCAGAGGAAATGGGGGCACGTCTGTGAAAGGCTGTGCTCCACAGGGGTTCACTTGTTTCTGTGGTTCTGCTGCGCCTTCACCTGAAGGTTCCCAACCCCAGAGGAGCCAGGGCATAGGTCCCCCAGAGGCCACGCTCTCATGCAGTCCATCATGAGGTGACTTTGGCCTACAGCGGCCCTTGTCACACTGAGGCTGGCCGGCAGAAAGGACTCTGGTGACCACTCTTCACCGATCAGAGCAGTTACCACTGATGGCTTGGCAAAAAGCCCCGAGGAGGGAGTGGATCCTGCTGATTCAAACAAATTGGTTCATTTCCAGTTCTGAGCTTTCTGCTGAAAGACCAGAGGCTACTTTTAAGGAGGAGGGAGCAACGAATGGCCAGCGAAGGGAGCAGGGACAGAGTAACTGGATTAAGGGTACCTGGGAGGCACTGGTTTGACCTTTCCTTCCGGCTTCGCCCGGCTGGATTGTTCAACAAGGGGCAGTGGGTTTGTGAAAATGACTTGCTTTCTGGTTTTTATACTGGAAACTACTGATTTAGTCAAATGACGATTCTGAGTAACCCCATCTTACCTGTGGACTGCGTAAATATAGAAGTCATCCCTCCTCCTTGCTCCTCCTCCTCTCTGTGAGCAACAGAGTCCTCCCTGCCTCCTGTAGATGAAAAAAAATCCTCAGTGGGATTTCCCGACAAGACCTCTAGGTTGTAAAAGCTGGGGGGCTCCAGAAAAGGTGGATGGAAAATAAGTGCCATTCATATGGCTTGTTGGCCAATGGCTCTGGAATGCTCTAGTTCTGACAGAAAACAACGGTCTCTCCATGAAGATCAGAGTACCATGTAGGGAGCACAGAGGGACCTAGTCTCCTGTGGGAGCAAGCAGAGCTTTAGTCTGGACAAGGGGTGTTGGTAGGATTCAGCTTCTCTTGGGACCCCAAGCAGAATCTCAGCTCTCGCCCTGCAAACCTGCAAGGAGAAAAAAATAACCCACAAGAACATCACCCCTCACGTGATCCACGTGAACATCACCCCTCACATGATCCACGTGAACATCACCTCTCACATGACCCACATGAACGTCATTCCTCACAATTCCCTCATAGAACTCCAGTCATGGAGAACACAGACCGGGGTCCTGAGGGGAGGCACAAGGAGTCTCCCTCCCACCATTACCACCACATCCTCATGGAAGAGAATTATCAACCTATAACCCAGCCACTGGCCCCCTCACCTGGATGCCACCTTGACCTTTGGGATCCAGGGGGGTCCTTACCCATGGAGAGAAGCTACTTCATTTTAGAGAGCTCTGATGACCAGGGAGTTTTCCTTCCTGTTCAGTGGAAAACTTCTTCCTTATAACAAGGATTTGTAGCGAATCCCACTGGCCTAAACCCTGGCTCCATCAGTGATCTTAAGGAAGGTTCCCAAATAGGGTGCCCAGAATCCATATTTAACCAAAATAATAGCAATTATAATATTTCTGCAGCAAGACTGCTTAGAGGGTTCATGATCTCACGATGTGAGTCACCCAGCACAGCACAGTCCCTGGTGGTCAGCCCTATGCAAGCCCAGTTTCCTCAAGTTCCCCCAGGACGCCCATCTTGGGGTCCTGTTGGCAGGTCAATGTCCTTTTCAGCTTAGTCCCCTTCAAAAACTATATATGACACAGGCCCTGGGAGCAGAGGCTGAACCCGGCCCTTAGCTGGCGAGACTGTGGCTTGAAACAGCTGTTGTCCATGCCTTGATGCATGCTGAGATGCTTGACTCATCTGAGTGAACCCTGGCCTTCTCATCCATAAAAGAAGGATGATGAGAAAGGAAGGTCACTGTGGAGTAGAGAAAGACACACAAGCAGAGTCCTGGCAGTGTGAGGTCCAAGGGAACCGGCCGAGGACTAAACCAACATGTGGGTCGCTTGGCTCCACAGAGAGGTGAGCATAGTTCAAGCACTGAGGACACAGGCTGGGAAGAGCAGATGGGTATTCCCATCTAAGCTGGATCATTTATGAGGTGATGCTGTGAACAGGACAGGGAAGGGAGACTGAGGCCGATTCAGCCACCACTGAGCCCCACCTCCTGTCATAGGGTGGTCAGGGGTCCTTCTGTAAGGGACCTGAGGTGTTGAGCTTTGCTGAGTGGGTACTACAGTGCCATCTCTTTGAATTAAGCAGAGGAATAACAGGAGGGCAGTTAAGTAGAAATAGAACTTGAGAATCATGAGTTCCTGGGTTCAAATCCTGGCTCTGCCAGTCTCTGAATTTAGGCCAGGCCCTTGGGTGTTGTTCTGTTAATCAGGATGATCTGTAGCATAGTTTTACATTGCCAACAGAAATCAACACCCAGTTATGACCATCCAAAGTGTCTCCAGGATCTCCTGGGGCCAAATTGCCCCAGCTGAGACCCTCTGCCACAGTGATCAAGAGAACTGTGTGGGGGTTGGAGAGATGGCTCAGTGGTTAAGAACATTGGTCATTCTTGCAGAAAACACGGGTTTGAATCCCAGCTCCCACACGGTGGCTAACAACTATCTGTAACTCCAGTTCCAGGGGCTCTGACATCCTCTTCTGTCCTCCGCAGGCCCTGTGCAACATGGGTGCACTTACCCATATGCAGACATAACACTCATACATATAAAATAAAAATAATAATAAATAAATAAATAAATAAATAAATAAATAAATAAATAAATAAAAAGAGAGAACTGTGTGGAGTCCCAGCATGAGGCCATAACACAGGGTGTGCTCTGTTAGTTCAGGGTGAGACCCAGGTAGGTCTGATGGCACCATGCTCTCCTCTTGCTTTCCCAACACCCCCATGTATTACCCTGGCCTTTGACTCCAGTCAGCACTTCTTAGGGATTTTAAGTTAAAACATTGGCCTGTGAGAGACCAGTCAGTAAAGAAAGGGCACCTGGAGCTCCTTCTAGAGACCGGAGTACATCTACTGTGCACCATGGTTGGGTGGGATCAACCGGACAGCGGGGCAAGCTCTTGAGTTTGCAGCTGACTTTTTGTGTCTCAGTGAAGCATACACTGTGCCAGGAGCCTGGGAGGATATGAACTCCACCCTTCTTCCAAGGCATGGTTCTGGGATGGTTCAAGGCTTTCTTGCTGTTTCCCAGGCCAAAGATCTCCATGCAGGTGATCCCACAGTTCCAGAGGGGTAACCTCCTCAAGTTTGAAATTTCAGTTGCTGGAAGGACCTTCTTCTAAGTAGAGAGATTTGAGGGGTGAGCATAAGGTTCGACGGTCTCCAAAGCTCAGCCCCACTCTAACCGTCAAAGTGACAGACCTACAGCAATTCTTTTCCTCTTTATTTTTTCTGGGTAAATTGGCTTTTTTAAAAATGAGTTTCCTGGAATAAAGACAGGCCTGCATTCCAGAATGAGCTGCTCAGTGTTCTGCTCTGAAAACTGCTTTTGCCAGCAATCTGTGCAATCACTCTACACTATAGAGACCATTGACTTCAGAGTCAGTGCAGAGTCTCACGGCTGAAAGAGAGAAAGGTGAGTGGAATTCATCACAACAGATGCAACCCTGATCTTAACATTTACTGTTAATCTTAGAGAATGGCCTGGCTCTCCACACTTACTCAAGCACAGGAGGGCTGAGCCAGGAGCCTCAAGATCAGAACTACCGTAGTCACAGTGCCCCAAGCTTGCTTTAAATGCATTTGTTGCCTATACCTGAAGATGTGTTAAAGTTAGGGCCGGAGTGATGGCTCAGTAGGTATTGTGCTTGCTATAGGAGCATGGGAACCTGAGTTTGGTCCCCCAGAACCCCTGTGAAAAAGCCCAGGCCCGGTGGAATGCACTTGTAACCGCAGCACTGGGAGGCAGAAACAAGAGGTTCCAGGGCTCACCGGCCGGCCGGCCTAGCCAATTTGGCAAGCTCTGAGTTCAGGAAGCAAATTTGTCTCAAAAAACTTAGGTGGAGAAAGATTGAGGAAGACATCCAATGTCTTCTGGTCTATACATACATGTACACACATAGACACACATGCACACACACATGTAACTAGGAAACTTCTTACCATTCAAGCCTGGAAACTGAGCAGAGCTTTCACATCCCCACTGTGGGGAGAGGGTGTTGTAGAAGCAGCCTAGTCTTCCTCACACTGCCCAGCGCAACTAGACCCAGACTCTGACCATTTCAGCCTGCCCACTCAGACCTGCTTAGCCAAGATAAGGAGAGGTGGTGGCTGAAATCCACCAGAAGATAGGGACTTGACCAGAAATGTCCCTAGGTGCCTGATGGCTGATGAGTGTCCACTCCGCAGCCTGCGAGCAGAGTTGCCCTGTGAAGCCTCTTGCACTCACAGGCAAGGTGACCCAACCTCCTGTGGTTTATACAGCACCTTCCTGCCCTCTTCCTGCATTGCCTTGTGAAAGAGGACCACCCATCCTGTCACGAAAGGGGCAGTGAGCCATCCCCAACATTACACAGTCATCACACAAGATGACGCCGCCTCCCCCAGTGTGCAGATTCTGATTCTGGCTGCCGTCCTTTGTTGCAGAGGCCATATGAAATCCACTCAGCCACATCCATCGATGAGATCCTCAACATGTTCAAGGTGGAGCATGTCCACTATTCCTCCACGTGGTGCAAGGGGATGGTGGCCCTGCTGAAGAAGGTAAGAGGGAGGGCTGCGCAGAGGGGTCAGATAGCGCAGACGCAGCTATGCCATGAACGAAGGAGAACGTGAACAGCCTGGCTGTGACTGCCCTCCAGTGCCCAGTGAGAAATGACCACAGGGTCATACACAGGTCACAGTGACCAGCACAGGGCAGTGTGTGGCAGCATGCCCCAGGATCTTTCCAGTCCACTACAAGCGCTTAATAAATAGAAACACCTATCTCATGTGAATGCTAACCTTAAGAAATGCTAACTTTAAGAAATTTAACACCTCCTGACCTGTGGCAGGAACCGATCCTAGCAGAACGAATGTGGGTTCAAAGTGTGCTCCCTGCCCTGAGCACTGACTTCACCTGCCACCTGGAAGCCTGCCAGAAAATGCACCTCCAAGACTCACTGGATAAGACCCAGGGTTGGGCCGCTGTCTGTCGTGACCCACTTCCTGTGAGTCTGATGCCCACTCCAGATGCCCAGGCAGGAGTTCTCCTTCTTAAGCGCCTTTCCGAGATGCATGGAGCCGAGTATTGGGGATACTGGCAAAGCCATTTTTACACGAATGATATTAAGAGCCACAGAGCCCTGGAGGCCATGAAGGTTGGGCCACGTGGTGCTCTCTTTTCATCCCCACAAGCCCTGTGAGCAGAGCAGGGTCACTATCCATACAGCAGAGATAAGAAAGCCAAGGCTTGGGAAACCGAAATCATTCAGTCTATGCCACAGAACTTTACAGGACAGGGGCGACATTAGAGTCTAAACCATCTGTGTTGCTGACCTTTCTCATTGCTATGACCAAAGCGACATGCGGGGGGATGGTGTATTTTGGCCCACAGTTTGAAGGAACAGCCATGGGGTGAGAAAGTCACGGCAGCAGGAGTGGGAGGCAGCCGTCACACTGTGAGAAACAGCGAACGATGCATGCGATGCTCAGTTCGCTTTCTCCTCCTTATTCAGTCCAGGACCCCAGCCCATAGCATACTGACAGCCACAGTCAGGGTGAGTCTTCCCACCTTAAATAGCCCAGTCTAGAAACTCTCTCACAAGACATGCCCAGAGGCTTGTCTCCTGGGTGCTTCTAGCTCCTGCAACATTGACAGTCAGTATCAGCCATCACGCTGTCCAACCACAAGGTCCTAGCTTTCAGACCCAGGCCTGCAACAACAACTTGGTAGACTGATAATTAGTTAAATTATTTTAAAGGCAATCTACCACATAGTTTTAATAATGAGTGGTTCTTATATATATATATATATTTT